CTCCTCCTCCTCCTCCTCCTCCTCCTCCCCTCCCCTCTCCCTCCCTCTCCCCTCCTCCTCCTCCCTCCTCCTCCCTCCTCCTCCTCCTCCCCTCCTCCTCTCCCTCCTCCTCCTCCTCCCCTCTCCTCTCCTCCCCTCCTCCTCCTTCCCTCCTTCCCTCCTCCCTCCTTCCTCCTCCTCCCCCTCCTCCCCTTCCCCTCCCCCTCCCTCCCCCTCCCCCTCTTCCCATCCTCCTCCTCCCTTCCCCCATCTCTCCCCTCCTCCCCTTCCCCCTCCTCCTCCTCCTTCCCCTCCTCCTTCCCCTCCTCCTTCCCCTCCTCCTCCTTCCCTCTCTCCTCCTTCCCTCCTCCTTCCCTCCTTCCCCTCCTCCTCCTTCCCCTCCTCCTCTTCTCCTCGCTCCTTCCCCTCCTCTCTTCCCTCCTCCTCCTTCCCTCCTCCTCTCTTCCCTCCTCCTCCTTCCTCCTCCTCCCTTCCCCTCCTCCTCCTTCCCCTCCTCCTCCCTCCCCCTTCCCCCTCCCTCCTCCCCCCTCCTCCTCTTCCCCATCTCCCATCCCTCTCCTTCCCCCACCTCCTCCCCTCCTCCCCTTCCTCCTCTTCCCTTCCTCCTCCTCCTCCTCCCTTCCCGCTTCCTCTCCTATCACTCCCATCAACTCTCGCCGAGACACCAGCATCTCATATGCAAATTAATCATTCATACACAGCGGGGTTTCGCGTCTGAAGTTGCTGCTCGGAGCTTAGGTTCCGCCGACGCACAAACAACCCTTCCTTCTCCCGGCTCGCGCACCTAAGAATCTACATTAACATATGAATCAGAAAACTCTTCGAAGGAGGAGGCGGTCGTCGGAGAAACTTTCAAGCAAGAAAGAAGAGAGAGAGGGAGAAGGAGGAGAGAGAGAGAGAGAGAGAGAGTGTGTGGTGGAGTGAGGGAGGATGGGAAAAAGAGAGAGGGGGGGGGGAGAGAGAGGGGGAAGAGGAACAGAGAGAGGGGGGAGAGGGAGAGAGAGAGAGAGAGAGGAGGAGAGAGAAGGGGAAAGAGAAAAAAAAAAAAAAAAACATAACGAGAGAGGCAAGGAGTCGTTTCTCCTCCTCCCCTCCCCCTCCCCTCCCCCCTCATCCGCGCCAGCCCCAGAACCTTGCTTCGTTGCCTATTAAGCTAATTAATCTCGCGCCAGATGATTCAGTAACGAGTCGCCCGTAAAATTTTGTCCCGATGGCGTTCTCCGTCGAGGCTGTGTCCTCCTTTTTTTCTCCCTTTCTTCCCTCCTCCTCCTCCTTCCTTTCCATCTCCTCCTCTCTTATTTCAAAAATCTTCCTGCCTTTTCTGCCTCTTCCACTTCCTCTCTATTCTTTTCCTTTCCATCTCTTCCTCTCCTATTTCATTCATCTTCCTGCCCTTCCGCTTCTTCCACTTCCTCCCTCTTCTTTTCCTTTTCACCTCTTCCTCATCGTACTATATTCCTCTTCCTACCTTTCCGCCTCTTCCACTTCCTCCCTCTTCTTTTCCTTTCCACTTCTTCCTATTCCTAATTTATTACTCTTCCTACCTTTCCGCTTCTTCCACTTCCTCCCTCTTCTTTTCCTTCCCATCTCTTCCTCTCCTACTTCATCCCTCTTCCTGCCCTTCCTTCCCTCCACTTCCTCCCTCTTCTTCTTTCCTTCCTCGTTCCACCATCCCCCTCTTTTCCTCCTACCTTCCTCTTTTCTCTCGCCGCTTCCATTTTTTTCTCCGTCCCTCCCCTTGCCTCCCCATTCCCCCTCTTCTCCCCTCATTCCCTTTCCTTTCCCCTCATGAGGCTATTACACCGCTGATTTCCCTCACACACTACTCCGCTGATGGTCCTCATATTCTAATAATGAGTCGTCTAAAAGCTCTACTAATGAGAGGTTGTAAGGAGCGATTTCACGGCGACCGCAAACTTCCAGCGATGAGATGCATAATAGGCCCAAACTTTCATCAAAGGCTGAATCTCTTTTTACTTTCGTCCCCCCTCCCCTTTTTTCGACTTTTTCACGTTTTCTTTTTTTCTCACCTTTTCTTCCCGTTTTCTTGCTTTTCACTTTTTCCCGTTTTCTTTTTTTTCCATCTTTTCTTCCCGTTTTCTTTCTTTTCTCTCTCCTTCCCGTATTCTTTCTACAATTTAACTTTTCTCTCTTCTTTCGCGTTTTTAGGGGGGAAGGGGAGGGAAGGTGAGATATAGGGGGGGAAGGGGGGACTATCATCTTTGTTTTTGATGACGTCTGATAATATCTCGTCTCCTGCTCCCGCGAAAAATGGAGAATATTTTATCACATTCTTTTTTCCTCCCTCACGGATTACAATATGCAAGGCTGACATTTTCTGAAGTTTTCTAAAGCGGGAAGATGATGTCAACGCGCGTTTTTTTTTTTTTAATATCTTTATAATCATTAGTCTTTTTATCAGCATTCTTAGTTTTAATCGTGGATATATTTCTTACTTTATATTATTTCTCTTCTTTTTTGTTATTCTTTGTTCTTATTCCTATTCTTGTCCTTATTCCCATCTCCTTCTCTTTCCCATATCTCCACCATTCTTCTTCTTCTTCTTCTTCTTCTTTCTTCTTCTTCTTCTTCTTCTTCTTCTTCTTTCTTCTTCTTCTTCTTTTCTTCTTCTTCCTCCTCCTCCTCCTCCTCCTTATTCTTATTCTCATTCTTATTCTTAAATTTGTTAATTCTCTCATTCTTATCCTTTTTCTAGTTCTTAATCTTATTCTTACTCTCATTATCCATATTTTCATCATATCTGTTTTTATGATATATTCATTTCATTTTTCTTACTCTATCACCATTAAAAACAATACTCATTTCACGATAATTTGATAATTCATAAGTTGGTGAAGGTATGGTGGATCAGTGTGAAAAACACATCATAATAAAAAAATAAGTTCGAGTGCATCGTGGCTTTCATTGAATAAAAAGTGAAGATTCTGTTGTCTTAAGCATGAGAGAAAAAGAGTCATGGGATCCTTCTCTCGACCACCCCGTTTGAAGCGCGATGCGTAGAATGATAAATGTATAGAGAATAAAAACGTAAATCGAATCAGTAAGGAAATGGGTGAAGGATTTTTTTAAGGATGAATAATGAAATGAATAGATAAATAATAAATGATGATAAATGATAAATAAATAGATAAATAATAAATAATAGAAATAATAGATAAATAAAATTAATAATGAAATATGTGAAAGATCTTTTTTTAAGTATGAAATACAACCAAGGGATTAAAACGATAATCAAAACAGATGAATAATCAAAAATAAATCAATAAAAAGTTTCCAAACATGGGCTGACTTCCCAGGGTCGGAATGCAGCAGATGGCACTCCCGGGGGCACTCGAGGGCGACAACTGAGACGTCAGATCTTACCGGGGCTGACCTTTGGCAAGTCTTGGGCGGCCTTGTTGGGGGAAAGGTCGCCAGGGAAGGTATGCCCCACAGCTGTCAAGGGTGCGGAGGGGGGGGGAGGGGAGAGAGGGGTCGGAGGAGATGGAAGAGAGAGGGTGGGCGGGGGTGGGGGAGGCGGAGGCGGAGGAGATGAAAGAGAGAGGGGGGCGGGGGTGGGGGAGGCGGAGGCGAGGGGAAGAGAGGGGAGGAGATGAAAAGAGAGAGGGTGGGCGGGGGTGAGGGAGGCGAAGGGGAGAGAAGAGAAGGAGGCGGAGGAGAGAGAGGAGAGGGGAGAGAGAGGAGGCGGAGGAGATGAAGAGGGAGAAGGTAAGGATGGGGAGAGGGGAGGCGGAGGAGATGAAAAAGGGAGGGAAAGGGATGGGAGGGGGAAGGCGGGGGATGAAGTGGGAGAGGGAAAGGATGGGAGAGGGATGAGGGACGAAGGGAGGGAGGGCAGGAGGAAGAAACGAGGAAAGGAGAAAAAATGGAGGTAGGGAGAGATGGAAGGCGAAGGGAAAGATGAAGAGGGGAGAGAAAAAGGGGAGAGGGATGGACGGAGGGACGAA